GACTGACCGGTCTGCTCACTCCCGATGATGCGCTGAGTTGATGGTCTGGGGAGGACACCATGATTTCTTTTGCTTCTGGCGGTTCTTGCTCCTCCTTTTCTCACTTCAGAAAAACGATGCTGAACCGTTTGATAGATAAACTTACTTCCCATGTCCAGCAGGAATGTGACGAGAAAAGTAGACCGCAGAAGATAACCCTCCAATCATGGTTCTTATGAAAACGATAATGATATTTAGTCTCGTATTCTCCAGCTTTTCCAATTTCTATTGTTGATGGTATGGAATATAGAATAATGAACTTACCCATGCCTTCTGCCGGCAATCCACAGTATTCCGGCAATCGACGTCGGTATGACACTAGATAGGTATATTTTGTTAGTTTTGCTGAGATTAAACTACACTTCATGTTTCAACGAGATTAAGGCTCTAGAGGGAAAATGTTAAATACGAACATATAGGTTCGGGGAACAGTAATCCCAAGACGGCCTCTGTGGTATATCTTGCGACTGCCCTGAAGAAACTGCGAGACTGAGAGATGGGAGGAAAGCAGCCGCTGCAAAAAGCGCATGAAGTGATTTCATGTTGAGATATATTTTTTATCTATTATTCATCTCTTTATTTTTTGATTGTCTGGGTTCCCTCATCAATGTATATATTAAAGGTCGCTTTGAAATATAGGTTATATACTTCTGGGAATCGTTCTCTGTTAAACATATAGGCAAAATTATAGATGAATCTCATCAGATGCGTCATTTTATTATCCAATATCCTAAAGCCTTGGGTGATACAACAGTTGAATCAAATTATAGTTCAACCACATCAAACTGTAGTTCACCAAGAAGCTTTGAACGACCCAAATAAGAATATCTACCGGCACATTTGCCATATTTGCCCTGTCCCTGGGGGAAACCCATGTCCAAGCTTTCGTGCGTCAGGTGGCCGTTCGTCAGGTGGCGTGGTCAGAGGCACACATCATCCAACGGTGGAAAGGGGAAGTTGAGTTAGGGATAAGAAACTCCCGTTTTTTCATCGCAAGGTCCACCAAAGAATCTCAATTTCATACGTGCCATAATCAGCATGCGGCTTTGACTTCTTTTCCCCCCCCCCCCTTGAAACAGCTGCTAGTTTTGCATGGTACATCCGATCAAGATAAAATTTCCAGTGTCTCCTGATACCACAACGTCAGGTTAGTTAGTTACATGTTCAGCGCTGTTTGCGCCCTTTGGCATTGCGGCACTGGCCTTCTCGGCTCTCGCCACTATGCATTCCCACTACCACTCATTGCACGGTTGAAGATTAGCCATGTATATATAGTTGATGCCAATTTCATAGGAGCAGGAGCTGGTGTTGAGCCAGTAGGTAAGGGTAGGTTGGCAGGATGGTTGTGGTAGAACAGCCGAGAAATTTGGCAATCGCCGGACGTTAGTTAAATCCTGACATGATCGGTAAACTCCTGGGACGAAGAAGTTGAATAGGCGGATAAGGAAGACTTTTACATGGTTGCATGGTTCATGTACTAACTACCATTCATTGTTTCCTGTGGGTCAAACTTCAACTCTGCTTCCCCACGATCTGAGCTAAGTTAATTAAGCGATCCACCAATCGGGAGTCAGGTCCTTATCTTTACCATGGATCTTCTAAGATTGTAAGACGGGTGAGAGGGGTGAAATACCAGCCGCGCGAAATATTCTAAATTCTTGAAGACCATTCCTGATACGGTCATATGACAATAAATTCCATCCTGGGTATTCTCTTGTCAAAACGCAAGCACAGTGCTGCAGTGTGAGCTCAAGACAGAGTTTTGTATTTTTATCTGAAGGCGAAAGCATTAATGTAATTTTATCATCTAATGAATGCTCTCCTATGGTTTTTCTTCCTTTATTTCTATTTTATAGTTCCCGAACTCTTAGTTACTTTCTTTTTTCATCAAAAGAGTAATCTTATGCATAATGAATTCGTTTTAACCAGCTAATCAAAAGTTTGATTTGTAAGACTAGGAAGAAAATTCAATATTCATCTTACTCTATGGTCTAAGTTTGAGTTACATTGTAATGATGCGGCGGCGGAGATGGGGGAGTCAACAATGACATCGCGTAGAGAAGGTTACTTGAGAAGCTGAATAAGTGGGCTTGACTAGTTAACGAAGTAGACAAGCATATTGCCTACAAATAGAAGAGTGGAGGCAGAAGTGCCTTCTAAACTTCATCAGTGGCATAATTCTCATAATCTTCTGCAGTGATTATCGATACAAGACTACCCTGGTGGTGCGGAGAAATTTGTTTCCATGACCAAGAGAAGGGCAGTTGGTGCCAACATTCGACATATCTCAGTGTTTTAAAGGTTTAGGTGTCCTAGCAAACCCTCATTGGCTGTTGACAACATTTTGAGAAGTTTTATAAGTTTAAAAGAATAATTCTCATAAACTTACTTTAAGGATGAAGAAGTATAAAATTAAGTTTAACAGTTAAAGAAAAGCTTATTTAAATTACATGTCACTAGATCTGTGACTTAAAGTTTATTTCTCATTGGATTACTTTTATTTCAACACTATTCAACTAATGTATTTCCCAAGCAAGTGCAACACCCAAGTGAGTGCAATACCAAAACCAACCAGAGCTCAACTCATTAGATTATAATTCAAAATATCTCAATGCTACAACACTCAATTAAAGTATATTAAATTACACACAGTTGAGAACATCTTAATTATGTATGTCTGAGAATATTACAATTGCTGTAGTATTATAAAGCTCATTAGCATGAAGCAGATACAGATAGTGAGAATATATGAAATTGAATAACTGACTGTTCAATAGATGCTGCAGACTCTGCAGATGCTGCAGATAAAGCTGTTAGGCTCAGCGCCCGACCGAGCCCGACCGAGGCCCGGCGCCTGGTTAGACTCGACCCGGCGCCCGGCGCGTCTGACCGAGCCCGACCGAGGCCCGGTGCCCGGTTAGACTCGACGTCGGATTAAGCTCGGCGCCCGATTAGGCCTAATCCTCATCACGTGACCACGTGAACCATGCGGGTCCCCCTTTCATCCCATCAAGCTTAGTATTTCGTTATATAGCAGTTAGCAACGCAGAGAGTTTCCTTCTTATGCAGCTCGCATTCGCACCCTAACAGTGGGTTATTGCCAATTTTCATGGGACCAACTCCAAGCCTCCATCACTCCTTATTCTTCTCTTTTTCAGCTTCATTATCCTTACAACACTTGATTTTTCTATTGGTATCTTTAATAGTGAGAACTACCCCTACTTGAACCTGGTGATAGGTTGTTTTAGCTCTGTGGCATTTACTGGCATTGAGAAAGTTCTCTAATTCAGTGGTCTGTTGCTCATTAAGTTCCACATGAATTAGACTTGCTTTGAATATCTTGTTCAAATGACATGTCAAGGTGAGTGATTTCAAATCAAAAGTATCTCTAATACTTTGTATAGTGTTTTCCACTATATTAATATGGAGTTTCAGCTTTTGGATTGTCTTTGATGAGGATAGCTGAGAAGAAGAGATAGATATGTGATCTGAATCATTCTCATCTTCATAAATCTGCAGTAAAGGAGGTGATGAGATTCACTGCTTAAGAGTGTCAAGAACTCAGTCAGAATTCCATGAATATATGCCATGTTGAGCCCATTCTGCAGCTATTGTATCAGATTTAAAGATCTGCTTTCACATAGCTGTTACAAACTTAAGGGAACACCCCGCATGAACAATCAAGGAATCATTGGGTAGGAATAAACCTAATGAGAGGGCTGACAGAGACTAAGTGACGGAACAGCAGGACATGTTTCCAGAGAGGGTACAGATCACGTGACTGATAGATTGGTATGACTGATAGATTCATCTATCAAACCTATCAGTAGATTAGTATGATCAGTATATCAGATCTACCAGATCTACCAGAGGATTTCATCATGTATATAAAGACGCTCATTATCCTTAGGATCAAGGAAGCTTATCTTCTTGATCATGATCAATTTCATTACACTTTGAGAACACTCTACCTTTCAACTATTCTATTCAGTTATAATCATAGTTTTGGTTCTCTTGAGATACTCTTCTACCACATCTATGTCTCTTACAGATCATTAGAGTCTTAGACACCTGTCTTAGCTATTATCAGTAATAGAGATTAATATTTCTATTGTTCAATTCTAGTGGCAGCTGATCTTTCTACAGTGATCAAGTACAATAAGATACTTAGTTAATCTGATCTTAATTGACTCAGATGAATGCTTGCTGTAACAGAGCCAAGTCCAGTTAACATTGATCATCTCTATATCTGAGGTCATGGAGAACCTTCTGCTTGAAGGAAATATTTATTGAGAAGTCTGTACATGAACATATCTTTATCACAACAGATGAATCAAGATAAGATACCTCTGAACCTTTAATGGAAATCTAACAATGACATCATGAGCTGGATCAGTGATGAATGGACCAAAGAGAGACATACAAGAACTAGTAAAGGTGAACAAAACCTTGACTGAGAAAATCAAGATGTTGGAATTTGCTATAGCCACTAGAGGAATGAAGGTGAACCCACCAGTATCATTCTCAAAAGAATCAGGAAAACTACAAGTCTTTTTGACACAGATAGATGTCTACCTCACTGCCAACACATCTAAAGTCATGAGTGAAGCAGACAAAGTCTTGATGGCTTTGACCTATCTATCTGAAGCAGTCTTTGACTAGTTTGAACCAAGAGTCAGAGAATGATTCCATGAAAAGAAAGAAGATCAAGATGAAAACACTGAATGAGTCTTCAAGAGATATGACAACTTTGTTAAGCTACTCAAAATGACATTTGAAGCAATAGATGAGAAAGGCACAGCAACTCAAAGAATCTATCAGACAAGGTAAACAGGATTAATAGCATATTATACATTAGAATTTCAACAAATAAGCTCTCATTTGGACTGGGATACTGAAGCATTGGCTTCCCAATTCTATCAAAGACTGAAGGAGGAAGTAAAAGATGAAATTGCAAGAGAGAAGAATAAACTGAACACTCTACAAGGCATGATAGAACTTGCAGTACAGATTAACAACTGCATGTATGAGCAATGCTGGGAAAAGAAAGAGCAATACTTCCACAACATCAGAACCCAGAAGAAACAGAGCGACTCTTACAGACCATGATCTATGAAGCTCAATACAACTGTGAAGACAGAATGCTTCAAAGAAGAAAAAGAACAGCAATGTCAGAGAGAAAGATTATGCTTTCTATATGAGAAATCAGAGCATATGACAAGGCAATGCCCTCAACACAACAACAACAGGAAGCTAAGGACTATATGGGGAGGGCATCAAGCAACAAAATATCTGCAGGCCATCAAACAGCAGCTGAAGACCTCTGAACAGGCAGAAAATCCAACAGAGGATAAAGAAGAAACCTAGGTGATAAGAATCATCAGAGCTGGATTTCAACATTACTAACTCAGTTCTGAAGTGAGGCAGTATTACCAGAGATAGGCAGAAAGAAGAACACTTCAGTTCTGAGAAAATCATAAACAATTCACATGGAAATTTTATGAGAAATGAGTTCAAAAATTATGAGAAGAAAACAAATCACTCACATTCAGACTAAAACATTCATAGTGTGAATACCACACTAAGTAAATGAACAAAGCCATTTCAGAATCAACTCATCTATGATATAAGGAATTTGAAATAAACAGATATGAGTATAAATATCATTAACAAGCACAAAGAGATGATATCAAATGACAGCAGACTGATCTGAACCACTCTTATCATAGAACATTCTACTCTTATAAAGTGAAAGATTGTATGACATGCAGAGAAGAAGAGGATGATGAGGAAATATCTGATTCACAGAACATGACAGATCTACAACACCTAGAACATGGAAGACTTCATTGATTATTTTGCTTTAAAGATAACTGTATTATATATATAAAGAGCAAGAAGAACTCAGAATATTTTCCAAGAAGAAGAAAACAAAAAAAGAGACATCTTTATCATATCATATCAGTGTATAACAGTGATGATAATGAAACTGCTCACTGACAGTGATAATGATAAAGATCTCATCTCAGAATATGTTGAAAGTATCAATGACACTGATTGACAAAAGATCATTATAATGCTCTCACAACAACTTGAACTTCTCCAATTCAGAATACAGCAGTTTGAAAATATCAACTATGAAAAGCTACAGAAAGCTAAATCAAAGACTACCAACTGAGAATGCTCAGAAGTATCATGAATACTATGCTGAAGCAACAACTGCAGAATTCATAAAGAGAAGAAAATGAAAGAAGGATATTACTCATATATATCATGATGAGAAGGAGATCATCTCAGAAGAATCTCCTACAAACTAACCTTCATGCCAGAATGGCTAAAAGAAGACCTTAGACTGAATTTGAATCATGAAAAATATAGAGAAATAGCCTGGACATACTGCACTAACCACAGTTGCACAGAAGTGTACCATGTGTATCATAAGCATAGAGCACAGTGGAGATTGATAGAACCCACAGATATATCTGAAGAGGAAAGAATTCATTGATACAAGATTAAAGAACAAATACTGAAAATATGCTACAACACAAAGTGTGATGAAGTGAATTCAGATTCATGGTGTGAAGTGATCAGACTGATACAGAAAGAGAATAACAACCTCAATTGATGAGAAGATGTGAGAAACATTGAGACACTGTGTGTGAAATGCTGAAAGACAACATATCAGTTGATCTCAGAGCAATACTAAAATCATCAAAAAATGACTATATTACTCAGAATTAGTGTCTTGAGATAGCAAAAGAGGATAGCAGTTAGCTGCCACAGACAGATCACTGCACTTGAAGTTCTTAGTAGAACTAGAAGGACAAAGCACACATGTACTACTAGATTCAGAAGCAACAGGTATATTTATGAAAAAGAGGTACATGGAGAAGGAAGCAATTCTGACAAGACAGAAAAAGAATGATTATCTTCTACAGAGACTAGGTGAGACAGATCTAGAATAAGTCAACAGAGAAACATACTTCATGACAATGAAAACAGAAGACTATAAAGAAAGAATTGTATTTGATATAACACAAACCAGGAGCTATGATATGGTACTAGAATACCCATGGCTAAAAAAACACAATCTGAAGATTAACTGGTGTGAGGAAAAGATAAGGCTAACAAAATATGAATATTTTTTGAGACTAGACACTTAGTGACCCAGCGACCACAGCACTGAATGGACCAGAGGCATAGCTATGAACAAAGAGATTTGAGCAATAAAGAATATTAGAATGCTTAGAGAGATGGAAGAATTAATAAGTTTGCAAGCTATGATGGGAACAGCAATATCAGAGAAGTATTCAGAATTCTGAGAGTTATTCTGAGAGAAGGAATTGTTGCAGAGTCTGCTGAGACATCAAGATTGAAATCATGAAATATCAATACAAGAAGACAAGAAACCAGTCTACTCAGCAATCTACTAAATGATAGAGAAAGAACTATCTGAAATTCAGAGATATTTGAATAAAAACAAAGCAAAAGAGTTAATATGATCATTGATATCATCAGCAGAATACTCAGTGATCTTTGTTCTAGAGAAAGACAGAAGTCTACAGTTATGTGTAGATTACAGACAGCTGAACAGCATAATGACAAAGAATTGATACTCTTTACCCCTCATCAAAAAGATACAGAACAGGTTTCAAAGAGTAATATGATTTACCACACTAGACTTGAGAGGAGCCTACAATCTGGTAAGAATGAAGAAGGGTGATGAATGGAAAACAGTATTTACAACACAGTTTGAACTTTATGAATATTTGATTATATCTTTTGAACTCATCAATGCACCAGTGATATTTCAAGCAATGATAAATCAAGTATTGTATGAATACTTGGACAAGTTTGTGGTGACATACCTAGATGACATATTGATATACACCCATGGAGACAGACTGGACCATGCAGAAAAAGTCAAGATGGTTTTGAAGAAATTACAGAACAATCATCTACTGTTGAAATCAGAGAAATGCAAATTCTTCAGAAAAGAAGTGAGATTTTTAGAACACATCATCTCAATAAAAGAAATACAAATGAATTCAGACAAAATAAAAGTGATAATAAACTAGCTCATATCTAAGAATATTATAGAAATATAATTATTTCACAGACTAACAAACTACTACTGAATCTACATTGAATGATTTTCAGAAATAGCAAAAGCACTGACAATACTCTTCAAGAAGAACACACTCTTTGTGTGGAGAGACAAACAGCAACAAGCATTTGAAAAGATAAAAGATGTATTTCAGCATAGAGAATATGCAAAGACACTTCAATCCCAGAAAGTCATGCATTATGGACATAGATGCATCAGACTGTGCTATTGAAGCAAGATTATAGCAGTCTGGTGAGCAAGAAAACCTATGACTCATTGCTTGTTTTGCAAGAACAATGGCATTAGCAGAGCAAAATTATGATATACACAACAAATAACTGTTAGCAATAATGAATGTGTTGAAGAAATGATGAGTATATCTGAAAGAAGTCAATCATTAAGTTATGATACTCTTGAACCATCACAATCTACAATACTTCACTATCATGAAGGAGCTAACATGACAGCAAGCGAGATGGTCAGAAACACTGGCAGCATATAATTTCAAGATCAAACACTGCAAAGAAAAAGAGAATATTTGAGCTGATGCTTTGAGCTGGAGATCAGATCTGATGATCAAGCAGAAACAGAGACAGACACTCTTCAATGTGAATGAAGACAAGAAAATGATCTTCAATTCACAAGCAATAAGAGCAACCTATGCCATTACAAAAAAAACACCTATACTCAACAAAATAAGAGTTTTGAATGAAGACTTGTGGGAGAAGATCAACAGAAAGACAGTGATGAAGGAGGGACTCACACTGTACAAGAAATTTATATATATACTAAAGAAGGTATGAATGGAAGTGATGAGAGAAGAACATGATGCTATTACCTCAGAATACTTCAGCATTGACAAGATTATGAAGAAAATCACAAGAATGTATTACTGGCCAGGAATGTAGGCAGATATATAAAAATATATTAGAAACTGTGAAACTTGTGGAAGAAGCAAGTCAGACTGACATGCATCATACAGATTACTGCAATCAATATCATAGCTAAAGCAACTATGAGAATTGATTGCAATGGATTTTATAGTCAAACTGTCAAAATTCAAAGAATCACAGACAAGAGAAGTATATGATTTGATATTTACAGTCACAAACAGACTGATGAAATACATCTGCTTCATACCATATTGAGAAGTGACATCAGCACCAGAGACCATACACATTGTACTCAGAAATGTGTTTGTGAATTATAAAATGCCAAAAGAGATTATAATAAATAGAGACATGAGATTTACTTCAAAATTCTGACAAACTCTAACAGCATGATTAGGAATAGAAAGCAAGCTTTCAATGGTCTATCACTCACAGACAGATAGACAGACTGAATGATTGAACCAGACAATGAAACAATACTTATGTTGTTATGTCAACTATCAATAAAACAACTGGGTAGAATTACTACCCCTAGTGCAATTGACATATAACAGTTTGAAAAATGCAATCACAGAGTACACATCTTTCTTCATGAACTACAGAAGAGAATCAGACATCCTACAGAAAAGTCTACCAGTCAAGACAAGAGTATAGAAAGCTAAGTTAAGAGCAGAATAGTTACAAGAATTGCATCAACATCTGTGAAAGAAAATCAAATTCATCAGCAAATGAATGAAGCACTACTATGACAAAAAATGCCAGAAGGTACCTCATTTTAGAGAGGGAGAGAAAGTGTTTCTATTACAAAGAAACATCAAAATCAGATGATCAAATGAAAAATTAGACCACAAAAAGTTAGAATCATTTGAAATTGCAAGAAAAACAGAACCAGTTAATTACAAACTTCAATTATTGAAAACTATGTGAATACACCTTATTTTTCATGTCTCACTACTGGAAATAACATCACAAAATGCTAAATAATACAGAACAAAAGTCAATCTAAAAGAAAAAGAATATAAGATTAAAAGAATTCTAAACAAATAAAGAATTAATGAAAAAGATCACTACCTAATCAAGTGAAAAGAATGTGATATCTCAGAAAATATCTGAGAATCTATTGAACATCTGGCAAATGTAACACAGATGATTCAACAGTTTCATTGATGAAATTCAGAGACTGATTCAACTGAGTGAGCTGTGAATCAGAAAGTTCAAAAGAGAAGTCATCAATAGTTGTGAGAAGCTGCTCCACCTCTTGTTGATGAGCAGCTTGTGCCTCACACTGTTTTTTCTCCTCCTCTTCTAACTTTTTCAATTCCTCTAAAGATTTCATATCAGATTTGAGAAAATGACTAGCACATTTATGGAGAAACTTCTTTTGTTTTTGAAGACAAAGCAACTTTTGAAGGGTTTGAGTCTTTTCTTCCTCCAACTTCTCCTGAGCACAGTATAACTTGTTCCAGTCAGAATGAGAAATGCTGGAATTCATGACACAACAACAGTCAACTTGAACACATTCACTATACTTTTTCAATTTATCAGATTTAATGCAAGGGTGATTTGACTGTGAACAATGAAGGCAAGATAAGAGCATGATAAAGTCTTGTCTATTGATATCAGCAGCAAGTTCATGACAGTGAATCATCTGACCACAGACCATGATGGTAAAATGAAAGAAAAGAAGACTTACAGAAATGAAATCCAACAAGATACAGAAGAACTACTATTTATGACAAATTGCTGAGGACAGCTCAACAAAGAAAGAGGGAAATGATATTACAAATCTAAGAAAACACCCTACATGAACAATCAAGAAATCATTAGGTAGGAATAAATCTAATAAGAGAGCTGACAGAGACTAAGTGACAAAACAGCAGAACTGTTTCCAGAGAGGGTACAGATCATATGACTGATAGATTGATATGACTGATAAATTCATCTATCAAACCTACTAGTAGATTAGTATGATCAGTATATCAGATCTACCAGATCTACCAGAGGATTTCATCATGTATATAAAGACGCTCATTACTCTTAGGATCAAAGAAGCTTATCTTCTTGATCATGATTAATTTTATTACACTTTGAGAACACTCTACCTTTCAACTATTCTATTCAGTTATAATCATAGTTTTGATTCTCTTGGGATACTCTTCTACCACATCTATATCTCTTACAGATTATTAGAGTCTTAGACACCTGTCTTAGCTATTATTAGTAATAGAGATCAATATTTATATCATTCAATTCTAGTGGCAGCTGACCTTTCTACAGTGATCAAGCACAATAAGGCACTTAGTCGACCTGATCTTAATCAACTCAGGTGAATGCTTGCTATAACAGAGCCAAGTCCGGTTAACAATAGCAGAGAGATTTTGTAGAAACTATCATTTTTCATACTTAACAAGACCATGACATGCAGCATAGTTGACTGCTTTTGAATGATAATACTTATATTGCTGAAATGGTAGACTATTCAGAGATTGTAGCAAATGAGTGGCATGTGATGAAAATTCATATAGAATTATCTTATGAAGATCTGTGTATTGTATGAACTCAAACAGAATCTGAAGATGTTCAAATCATGTATTGATATATTCAATATCTTTAACTGTCACTCTCTTTGGATTCATTGGCATCTGTTTCACCCTCTTATACTCAGGTAGATGTTCAATGAACCTATAAGTCTATATCTTGCTGACTTTTGAAGAAGAGGTAGTAGGATCTATATGCTGACATCTGAGCATTGAATTTGTGAAATCTTCAATGTGTTCAGCTGTGAGAGGACAATTCTTTTCATCAAGCAGCTTGACCCATTGTTTAATTACATTCTTCTGACTCTCATTTAATCTCTTGTTAGCTGGAATCTTCGCAGTATTCAGATTCCTTCCATTGATAAGGAACCTCAAATTCTCATGACAGAGGCAGTATTTTGAAATTTGGGTTTTTTTGATGGTAAGTGACAGCTTTTTGAATACAGTCTTCAATATTTTTATCCTTCTTTGACATTGTGGTGAGTTATTAATTGATGAAGATGATGAAGATGATGAAATTGCAAGATTTTTATCATTTTGGTGTTTTTATCGTTTTTGTGTGGCGCACCCACATGAGGTGTGGGTTGCGCAGCGGCACGATTAGTTAGGACTAGCTAGCTCGCTTTTAGCTCCCCAACAACGTTCCCCGGAGTCTAATGCGGGGCACATGAATCGTGCTTCTAGAAAGTATGCTGCTTCTCTCGTATCTGATACGCTACTGAGATAGGGGAACCTCGGATAGTTTCGGAGCGCGACATCAATCGAAAAGGTCCTTGTTTATTCCAAACCCAAAAGAAAGGGATCGATCGGGTATTGCGGTGGGAAAACACATGGTTTACAACTATAAGTCCTCTCACAAAATGGATGCTTGGTCTTGAATTTCCGCCACAAACCCAGGGTGAATCGTAAGACATAATTCAAACCTTAGTTTCATAGGAGTTGTTGTGGTTGTAGCTAGCTACCTTTAGTTCTATTTCCCCTCCATGGAACGGCTACATGTCAGGACTACGTCACAAGAGGAGCATGTTGTACGGTATGGAGTATGTTATCAAGCACTACCGCGTTGGATTTATCCCAGCTGCACCAAGCTCATGTCCGGTTCATACACGTATCCAGATGATACACAACTACGGCTGTCCTCCGAGATGTATGGAATTCCTGTACATGTGCTAATCTGAGTAACTATGTCGAAGCAAGATCATCGCCAAGCTGTATAACTATCTCAAAATCGGAAATAAACTGCCAAGGTTTCCAAAACATGCCATTCCTTCAACCACCACTCGCAGTTCTGGCCTCCTCTGTTTCTGATTCATCACCACTCTCGTCCCTAGGGAGGCGATCCGGAAACCATCCAAACCGACCAAACTCAACAGAGTACTCCCCCATGCCATCCACATGCACATCGACCCCTTCCTCTTCGAGCACAGCGGCCTGTCTCGCTGCAGATCCGGGACCGCTATTCCAGGCTCAGCGACGGGACTGGAAGAATGCATTCAGGGAAAAAGAAACGAGACAGATGAACTAGTAGATGAACGAAATTGCTACATACCGATGTGAGATCATCCCCTTCGCGTTTATGACACGCTGCCATGGCACATTTTGGTCGTGGTAGTAGTGGTCGGTCCCCGGGCTGTTGGAGGGTAGGTATTTAAGGCACATGCCTACTTGTCGTGACCTTTGAGCTGCAGAGGGAGTCAGATTATATACAAAATCGACAATTGAATATATGCTATGCTGTCCGTGTTGTAAGTACAGAGAGGGGATATTTTGAGGTAAAGCTTTTTGAGAGTTAGGACAAGATTCATGAAAACAATCAAGCAATGCTTATATAACGCTTCAGCTGGCATGCTGTAGCCACTCAAATAACAACAGCAGTAATCCGATCACCGTTCCATGCCATGCACAATGCATGTGCATAGAATAATAATGAATCAAAGGAGGTAGAAAGAAAAACCGGGTAGTCTCACGCTGACCCAGAAGCCAGGCAATATGGCCGTAAGAGCACACTTTACCACGGGGGATCTGTTGCACAGCATCATAGACAGAATTGAACCACCACTCTGCCTCATCGGAGCGAGCCATAATTCAAATCATGGATTTTCGGAGTACTTGGATGTACAGGAAATTAATTATGATTCTTTCGTTGCCTGTTTGACGCTTTTTGTCGCGGGTGGATCTTATCTCGTATTCGTATCTCAGATCGTCTCCGGAATACCTATTTTCCGTAGTTATATAATAAATATCTTGACATCACTGACAATTAAAACCTATATCGAAAACTACAGCATCAACCAACAACAACAGCAATAACAACATATCCTAATAATAAGAACAACCGCAACCATAATCATAATGTCCATAGCCGCATATCTAGCCAAAAACTACCTAACAGCAGACCCCCCATCGACCTCCGACCACGTCAAAAAACGGCGAAAGAAGAACAAACATGCAGACACCACCAATTCTGGCGGTCTAATAATCGCAGACGATGACCCACCAGACCTCCGTACCGCATCTTCGAAGCCCAAAAGTCACAGATTCAAACGTGGCAGTGACGAAGAAGATGATGATACCCCCTACACAATAGCTGACGAACGACACTCCGCCGAATTCCGCAAGTCGAAGAAGTCCAGCTGGAAGACGATAGGCGGTCCTGCTGCGCCATCAAATGCTGAGCAGGTAGCTGCTGACGCCATCCTAGCCTCTGCTGCTGCTGAGCGGGCTGCACATGAAGCTGAGGACGAAGACAGGCCTGTAATCGCCGACGGGGATCCCGATGCTGAGCAAGAGAGTGGCGAACTGCGTATGGAATCCGGTGCGCGGACGGGCTTGCAGACGGCCGAAGAGACAGAGGCGATGGTAGTTGCACAGCAGCGCAAGCGTCAACTGGAGTCGTTGGCCATGAAGAAATCTGACCGTGCTGGGAAGGGCGTCGTGGAGCCCGAAACCATATACCGCGATGCGAGCGGGCGGATAATCAATGTTGCCATGAAAAGGGCGGAGGCGCGGAGGGCGGTGCAGGAGGCTGCAGCGGCTGAGGCGGCGGCCAAGGAAGCGTTGACGGGCGATGTACAGCGGCGTGAGAAGGAGGCGCGGAGGGAGGCGCTGAAGGAGGCTAGGTATATGCCGCTTGCCAGGACGGTGGATGATGAGGAAATGAATGCCGAATTGAAGGCTAGGCCGAGGTGGAATGATCCTGCCGCGGAATTTTTGACGAAAGGGACGACGAGTGGAGGTGGCGCTGGGTTCGCTGTTGGAGGCGGGAAGAGCGGGAGGAAAGTGTATACGGGGCCTGCTGCACCCAATCGGTATGGAATACGGCCGGGGCATAGGTGGGATGGGGTGGACCGGGGCAATGGGTTCGAGCAGCAGTGGTTTGAGGCGCGGAATAAAGTACACATGCGGCAGGGGTTGGAGTATGCGTGGGCGATGGATGAGTAAATAAAGCGGCTCTTGTGGTGTTCCGTCGCATTACTTTTACGATTTTGAATTATTTTTTCTCCCAAAGATTCGTTCTTACAATAGCATGGGTTTGCATTTGGGATAGCATGCTTGGATATTCTTTCATATGATGTTTGATGGCATAGTTATAGATATAACCTACTTTGAATCAAACCCGGTACATAGTCGAAACAGTTTATAATTCATGCTCGGTTTTATTCCTTGGAGGTTCCATATATGTACGTACATCATTGCCTGCCAGAATTCGATTCCGGACTCTAGAGCAAATCACCTCATCTATATACTTATTCTAGAGTAAAACTCGACTATCACATTTCCATAACTCCTTCAAATTAAAAGGAAGAAGAATAGCATGGCTAAAAGCGAACCAACAAGTAACTGCGAAAAAATAAACGAAAGGGCCATAACCGCTGAACTCCAATTGTTTATGTAAGTTGTATGTTGTATATAAAGGGGAAAAAAATGTGTAAAAAACTGTCAAAATTAAAATGACAGGATGTGATGTGAATTTGCTAGCATCCATTTCAGCTCATATATCAGCATCCGGGCCTGTCCGTCAATTTTGTCCATCCCACCCCTTTTTCCACACACTTCCCCAGTAATTCGGTCATGAACAGGCCCACAACCAGCATAACGAATGAAGGAAAAGAGAAAGCAGCGGAAGGGAAAACCGGGACAAGGAAACGGACGAGGAATGACAAAGGAGAATTGTTCAAAGTGAACGGCTAGTGGGCAGACGAAGAAGCTGGGACTATATATATGAATATATAAGGAGAGGCTGGGAAATGGATGACATCAAAGGGGGGGAAATGGGGATAGGGGGAAGATATGTGGAATACGGTGAAGAAGAGCGGAGATGGTGGAGGCGGGAAGGGAGCGTATAAGCTAGTAGAGCGTCCCGTTTACGCACATTGGGATATACGGGATGTAGATGTGAAGTCGGTGATATCCACGTCCGTAGGATGCGTGTAAACGTAGAGACGTGGGAACATAGGCTACACACTCCCAACCCTCCGCAGGAGAACATACGTGCAGCAACAAAAATGCATCTATCAATCTATCGAAAAATCAATCAATCATTCAATCAATCCGCCTATCCATCCGTCCATTCGTCCATTCATTCCATCAACCAGCAGATTGATTCCGCAATTCAGATATGGTCAGAGGAGTGGCAGAAGTTGGGAGAAAGAATAAGTGGGAGCGAAGGAAAAAGATGAAAGCGCAGCAGTGGCAGCAATGGCGGTAACATGTAATATAAAGGGTGGCAGATGGTGGTGCGGAAAGCTAGAGTGGAAAAATGTAATGCGGGAACAAGAGAACAAAGAGAGACATCCAGAGCCGTAAAAATTCGATTCCATAGCATAGTAAAATCCAACGACCAAACAACTGGAAGAAAGATTCAAGCTCTGTGTTGTGAACTGTATTTCAAAACCAAGGATCTGGAGGAGGAAAAACGAAAAGAGTAAACACAGGATAGTAGCCGTGAGGCAATAAGGCAGATGGGCAAGATTAGCATCCAAACGTGAGAAAACGAGGAAGGGGGAAAACAAAACAAAGTAACCAAAGGGGACGCAATACATGGTAATCAAATTACCGTTAAGCGTTGGGGATGTGCAGGAGAGGTTGCCAATATTAAATAAATCTCCAGCTCTTTTCTTCATTTTTCGTCTTTCTCTCCCCTTTCTCCGGTATATTCGTTTCTTATAGTTTTCTTTCATATGTCGTTTTTCTCGTCGTCCATACCCATACCAATATCCATATTCCATATTAATATCCACAAAGCCATTCTATCTACTCTTCTTAACCTCCTGTGCCCACCCTTCTATGCCCTCCCCACGACTCCCAACAGGGATACTCAAAAACGCCTGCTCCATCCCTTTCGTGCCATCCAGATACGAATGACTCGCCATGCCACCCGCATTCGCTCTCCTCTCAGGTAACAGCTCGAGCATCGGGCTGAGGAAGTCCGAAATGGCCTTACTATCCTCGGCAGAGAAGTGGTATTTTTCTCTGAGAACGTCTGGGAGCGCCCAGTGGCGGAGTCTATGGATGTTGCGCAGCTCGCCCTTGCGATTGAAGATTTCCTGGCTCCATTTTCCGGATAGGCACAGGGACTTGGGGAAGGGGCCTAGAAGTTCGATGATTTGCGCTATGTGGTCGTCGTCTTTGCCGTATTTGGTGCCGGATTGCGGGTCGAAGAGGTAGTCACCAGTGATGAGTTCGAAAACCTATTGATTTTGAAGAAAACGGACGGTTAGTGAGAACGAGAAAGAGTGTTACGGCGTATATAAGGGAGATAATACCATTGCTGCCATACTCCACACATCTGTGCTAGCACCCCATTTGGCACCAAGTATAACCTCTGGCGAACGGTATTGGCGGGTCTGGATATCGTTGGTGAAGTGATGCCCGACCCAGCAGGCATTCCCTAAATCGGCAATTTTCACTGAAATGATATCGATTTCAACGTCTTCCTCGTTCGATTTCTGGGGGGTAGAGTTTTTATTTAAGGATATGCCGGAGACCTCCCGTTCCAAAATATCACTATAAAAAACGGTCATCAGAATAAGAAAAAATGCATATGAAGTTTCGCGATGATAAGTTGTAGGGAACCCACGTTGTCTTTTCTCTTTGTTTTTGTGTTTCATCTTCGAGCGTCTCTGGATCTTTGATTCCCAATCGATCTTTCATTGAAAGGTTCGCTGTACTTGTTGTGGCTACAAGGAAACAGTTAACTACTGCGCATCAAGTGGGTAGGGGTAAGTTTTAGGCTGACCTGGTGAATCCTTTAAAATCTGGTTGAGGCTACTATGAGAGTTTTGGTTGGAGGCATGAGTGCGGAAAGGGTCGATACCGCTAAAGCTGGCGTTAAGAGGGCTTGGTAGAGGTTGACTTCCAGTGATCAAAGTTCTTCTCCGCCGCCGACCATTGCGGTTATCCTCTTTATTTTCCTTTTTAGTTTCTTCCTCCTTGACACAGGTCTTCACGATCTGCTCCACATCACCAATCTCGATCAGGACGTTTTCCGGCTTTAGGTCGGTATGGATAATGCCACAATCGCGGTGCAGGTAATCCAGTCCAAGCAAAACCTGCTTAGTGATTTGCTTAACGAGGGCCATCGGGATTCCACGGTGATTCCAGCGCTTGATCAAACCCAGTAGATTTTCACCCAAAACCTCGAAGACCATACAGACGTGGACCCCGTTGGGACCACGATGCTCGAACGAATCCAAGAGGCTAACGACGTGCTTTCGACCTGGGTGATTCGGGTTCGCCTGGACTATCTTATTCAGAAGCTTGATCTCATCGATTGCGGTTTCAGTGTAGTGTGCGGCTGACCGCACGACCTTTAGTGCAACATGTTTTCCGTTCGTAGTATCGCGCGACAGCCAGACAGTGGAGAAATGCCCCCAGCCAAGTTTGCGGACGACGATGTAGCGGCCATTATTGTAGGATTCACCGGGGCGTACTGGGTGGTAACCTCCTTTGCAATAGTCCTCGGAGTCTTCTTCGTCAGCGGTTATTTCGGTGGGGTCATCTGTAGAGGAGGAAGATGGGGAACGAGAGAAGGGGGAGCCATAGGTAGTTTTGAAGGTATGTGGGTTGATAGAAACCCTGCAGTAGATGAGTTAGAATATACCGTTCTATCAACACATGCAATAATAATAATACATGAAAAAATGCGTAAGGGAAGAAAAGATCCGCCCACCCTGGTTGCTTGGAAGCTGATGCGGGCATGGCGGTGGGGCCCGGAAAGGCGTCTCCCGGCGCAGCAGAGGGGGCAGACTCGTTCGTAACGATGGGCCTGAGGTCAGTTCCCTTCCTTCGCTTCTTGCCAGCGTTGTTCCCGTTAGTAGAGTTGGTTACGTTAGCAGTGCTGCTGGCCATCTGTTTTGCCTTGTTAATCGCAGCTTTCTTAATATCGCCCCCATTCATCGTTAGCTGGAAGCGAGAGCCGGTGAAGCCAGGGTGGAGAGGGAAATAATCCGCTGGTTTTTTCCTGTCAGCTGCTGGAGTGGGAGGTTGAGTAGAGGCTAAGTAGATGGTGAGGGAATGAGGTGGGTGATGTTGATAGGTGCTGGTGAGGGCTGGCTGCTGGCCGCAGGTCTTTTAGGTATGGTTGGGTTCTGCAGGCCCAAGAGGGAAAGGCGGGAAGTGGGCAGCAGCCCAGAGACCACCAAAGAAGGGATGGCCAAAGACGGGGAAATATCAGGAAATGACAATTACGGGAGATCCTCACGGCACCAGAAATGCAGGAAATGGGAGAGGCCGTTGCTGGGTGAGGATGGGTTGCGTTGGGTTGAGGTTGAGGTTGAGGTTGTTCAAACGATGATGATGAAGCATATAGAATGGGGGGTAACTACCGTTAACTAGGAGTGGCAGTCATAACAGAATAGTTTATAATACATCGACCAAGGGAGTGGAACCCACGTTCCAGTAAGAACTATGTCGCTAAAAGTAGAAGATGGAAGATGGAGAGGATGCTGGAAATGAAGATGAGGACGGTGAAAAAGGAGAAAAGATATAGGGGGCCCATTAAAAATGCGTGGGGAGATTGTTTGAAAGACCGCCCACAATGATGTAGCTAGGTACTCTCTACCTAACCATATATATACAATAGCGGGGAGGGAGGGGTGCCTGGTACATAACCTCGAAACAGGGTTTAACTTCGAAGTCAAATCTTTGATAGCTTACAGCGTGCTTCAACCAAAACACCGTCAACTGAAAATACGGATCGGTAAAGACCGAGAGTCATTCATTTATCACATTTCTATAGCTGTTATCTATATCGCGACTGAAAGGTTGTCTGCCATACACACGCCCTAACAGCCAAAATCCACGTAGTTACATGTGCAGTATTAATAAGGACTTGACTTCAAGGATGTATGGACCTAATTATATGTGCATTTACCCGGCAGCACAGGCTATCTGTTCCCAATGGCCAGTGTGGAGGAGTTGATTGGACGCTTGCTCGGGCGTCAGGCGCTCTTCAGGGCGAACCGCCCAACGAAAAAGCCCGAATGCTATTAACTAAACCCCGAGGAGGCGTGATTCCTGTGCATGTCCATCCCACCAAATGGCTCCATCTGGGGGAATTGCCCGGTTCTCTGTGTCCATCCCTCCAGCTCGAACCGCACTTCCACATCTAGGAGAGTGAGAGCGCGGGATGAAGCACAAGAAACGATAGGAGATGGAGAAATTATTTTTATTTATTTACTTCTTATTCTTACTTCTTCTTATTATTTAAAAAAAAGCCAAAACTTTGATTCCTCATCTTCGTTGCTTTTTTCCAGTTGCTTTTTTCCCGTTGCTTTTTTCCCGTTGCTTTTTTCCCTTAGGCTTCCAACCATCCGCATTTCAGTAATTGCAAAGAAACATCCAGATGCAGAATCCCAATATAGAGAATTTCTTCGGGTGCACCAGAACCATAGTGTTCAGGAGCGTTCAAAGTTTTTTGCCAGCTTTCAGAGATTGGGCCGTCTGTCGTCTGTCGTGGATCTTCTAGAATAGTTATCTTGAGTGTATATAATCAGCAAGTTTGGGACAGGCTTCTCTTTTGGCCTATGCGCTCCTTGAGCGGGTAGGCTTGGGGTGGCATCTCCACTGCCCGAAACTTTACCCCAAGCTTGTTGTCCCTTCTCTCCAGCGTGTGAAAAATTAGTGGTGTCAACATGGGGATATCTATGGATCCAAGTCTGCTCGCTTTGATCCTGGAAGATTGCAGCAACTCTAAAAAAGGAGGCGGTCTTAGAGCAGGTCACATGATTATGCCGCTCAGGCAAAATCCCTATCAGTTGGGATCCAGACCATCGTTGACGTCGAAGCAAACTTCTTTCCTCCCTCTAGAGTTTCGATGCATCTGAGGTAACAGCTGGACATGACTATTCAACCTTAAATAAAGAAACATTCTAATTATAAAGTATTCACAATAACAGTTTCAAGTCTAGTATCCAAGCTGCATGTCATCAACTCAACTGCATTTCCACATTAATTGAAACCCCACAATTCACGCAAGATATGACATGAACTAAATACAAAACAGTCCTCTCCTAACTACCTACATACCTAGATAGCCCGTCGCATGACGGAACGGGCTGGAAAGATGCAGGCCAATGAGACACCTAGAAAGCATTTACATTCTCCTTTGCATGTCAGCGGCCCAAGCTCTTGACGAAATGAACTTGAAGGTTTGGGTCGGATACTCACCATTAGCTATCTCAATGCCACCGCAATCGTTTAGAGAGAGGTTGGAATGGGTAGTTAACGTAGCTAGCTGAATACGTCTGTTGTTATTTTTTTTTTTTTTTTTTTTTTTTTTTTTTACTAACTCAGGTGGTTGCTTTAAGGGCATACCGGGTTCCATAACTTATAAATCCCACTCACCTGAAGCTCTTCTCCTATTCATGCTCCTTGATTTTCATCTCCATTTTAAAAAGTCATCAACCCACGGCCTCCCTCGAAGAGTTAATGTTGGCGGCCTGATCTTTCAAACTCTGACTGGGCGATATCAACGACTTCCCTAGCAATGACCTGTGTTTTACGTAGTGCTCGATACTCGGCCATTTCTTTGCCAGCCAAATCCTGCAAACCACTAGCAAAATATTTCTTTCACATTTTCCGCTTTGACAATGGCCTTGACGAAGGGTAGGGCGGCCGAATTATTTTTGACAACCAGAACGCATGGCTCTGTTTTGCTTTATCTGTCTTCCATGGGATATTCATTGAGTCTGCACGAGTTTGCATGCGTTCCACAGTGCTGGGTGCCATAGGAGATATTATCGACGTTTTCTTCCCAGTCGAATTCCGGAAGATTTAACAAGCCATCATGTCACTTCTTGTACCCAATTGCTTCCCATAGCGTGAAGGGCTTAGCTGCCAGGCACTCTGGATCTCTTTCCTGGCCAGGCGCGCCTGCGACACTTTTGCCTGCCGCGACAACTCGAGCTATTTTCCTCACATCTGCCTGCAAAGAATCAGTCAGCTCGGGTATGGGCAATAGTTCTTCAGGAACAGTGCCATAACCCTCCACACCCAAACTCGACATCGTGAATTGGGGGAGAGTCGATAAAGGGCTTGGCTGTTGTCGTCGTCGTCGTTGCTGTGGTTTCTGTGTCTTGCTGAGTGTCTATAAACTTATTCTGCGTTAATATCACTGGGCCGGTGGGTCCCGGCCACAACAACTACGTAGGAGAAACGAGTTGAATGTGTTTAATAGGGGAGGGCACGCATGGAATGATTGAGGGGAAACAGAGGAGTAAGTGAGATTAGAATATAATTGGAAGGACGGGCTTTTTTGTGGGCCTCCCCTTCGGCAAACATTAGTTGCTCCAGCTTCACTGCTCCAACCACGCATGTCCATAGAGTGCATTGCAGTTAACAGAACTTAGTTATTGCTAAAGAGCATAAAATGAACATATATATATATATATATATATATGCACTAGAAAACAAGAACCACCAAAGTTGCGATATAAATTAATTTGGGGTATTAATTTGGGGTATTCGCGTTGCATGATGTTTTCCCCCTGACGTAACTATAACTAGTTAGTTAAACTAAATAACTAGATTCCGGTTCCCCTTTTTCCACCCACGTCATATTCAACAACAACCCCAAGTAGCTATTAGGATCATAACCACGAAAGCCTGAGACAAATCCCAACCTCACCATCTTTAAATATGGCCAAAATAATGATCCCCTAACATCAATTACCACATTGCCATAATCTATGAAATAAAACACATCACCTTACCCACATATGCACGAAACATAATGGGTCCCTACGACCCCCCACCCCTCCTAATCCGCCTCCTCTCCTCCCCGCTCCTCTTCCTCCTCCGCCCACTGCACACCCTTCTCCTCCTGCTGCGTGTCCCGCCACGTACGCGAACCCCGTCACAACGGCCCATCCGCGTCGTTTGTATATCAGACACGCACGATCGCCGTTTGGACAGCGTGCCGGATGGGGATCTGCTGCTACACGCGGGGGATATGACGAATAGAGGGACGAGGCGGGATATACAGGCCACGGTTGATTGGTTGAAGACGCTGCCGCATGCGAAGAAGGTGGTTGTGGCGGGAAATCATGATGGGTGGTTGGATAAGGGGATTAGGGAGCGGATTGAATTGTCGGAGGGGGACGGGGAGGCTGGGCAGGACAAGGGATGCATTGATTGGGGTGATATTCATTATTTACAAAATAGCACCGTCACGCTGACTTTCACCACTTCTGCTGCTGCTGCTGCTGCTGCTGCCGCCACTGCCAGCAATTGCCTATTGACAGCCTCCAAATCGCAATCTCAATCGCAATGTCGAACCCTAACAATCCACGGCGCCCCTCAGGTGCCCCAACTCGACTCATCCCCTCACTCAATACACGCCTTCCAATACCCCCCTTCACCCCCGGCCGGCAACAATACGCCATCCACCTCCCCATACCCATACCCAACCCCTGTCCCCCAAGCCACCGACATCCTCCTCACCCACTCCCCTCCCTCCCAACACCTAGATAACTACCCTTACTCAGTTGGTTGCCCATACCTGCTCCGCACAGTCTGGTCCGTCCGTCCAATCCTGCACGTCTTCGGCCATGCACATGTCGGCCGCGGTGTGGAGAGGGTGTATTACGATAGGGCGCAGGAGGCATGGGAGGCGCTTTGTGCTGCTAGGGAGGAGAGAGGAGTGTTGTGGGAGAGGGGTATGAAGGGGGTTGTGTGGTGGGTTTTTGTGAAAGGGGGTTGGTGGAGGGATTTGCTTGGCCTTGATGGGGTGTGGGGATTGGCGGGGAGGGTGATTTGGGAGGGGTTTAAGGCTGTGATTTGGGGGAGGGTTTGGCGAGGTGAGAGTGGGTTGGGGGGGGAGGGGTGGATGGTTAATGCGGCTTGTTTGGATGCGAGGGGAGAGAGGTTGAGGGGGGCGACTGTGATTGAGATATAAAGGGTGGATTGTCAGTGTGTGATTATCAATGTCGAGCTGTGGCTGCTGTGATTTGAATATATTCACACAAGAAATGTGTGTGTGTGTGTGTGTGTGTGTGTGTGTGTGTGTGTGTGTGTGTGTGTGTGTGTGTGTAGAGCTTTATAGAATTTCTGCATCTAATAGTTTCTATCAATGCAAAGGTGCAGTATGTACAACATAGTCAACAAAGCTTGCAACAGATGAAGACTAAAATGAAGCATGCAACGCAATGCAAAACAGAAAGATCTAACACCATCATCTTACACCATATAAAACACCAATCATAACTTCGACTTCTCAGCTGGAGGAGATGGTCTCTCCGACGGCAACACCAGCGATTCATAAACCCCCAACCCCAACGAATCCACCGGATTCGGCACACTTCTCACAGCCAATCCCTTCGTATCAACCAGGTCCGGACAGAGCTGCTCAATACTCGAACAACCAATCAACCGCATATTCATCACCAACTCATCCTTCAACAACTGCATCGCCCGCTCAACACCAGGAACCCCATAGGCACTCATAGCATACAAAAACGGCCGCCCAATCCCCACACCTTTGGCCCCCAAACACAACGCCTTAAGAATATCCGTCCCCCTCCGCACCCCACCATCGATATAAACCTCAATGCGATCCTGCCAGCCACGTCTGCGCAGCTCAGGCATGACATCTGCCAACAGCTCGATGGACGAGGGAGAAAAGTCCAACTGCCTCCCGCCGTGGTTAGAGAGAACGACGGCGGGTATCCCAACTTCCACCGCGCGGAGCACGTCGTCGACACGTTGTACGCCCTTGAGGACTATGGGCATGGTGGTGATGGACTGGAACCAGGGGATGTCTGTCCAGCTGAGGGAGGGGTCGATGAAGGAGGAAATAGCACGGGCGGCACCCTGGGAGCGGTCAACGGAGGACTCTGAGCTGGTGTCTGAGGCCTGCACGTCTGATCCCCTGTCCGAGAACTTGGTGCGCATATCTTTCTCCCGGCGGCCTAGCTGCGGGGCGTCGACGGTGATGAATAGAGCTTTGCAGCCGCGTTTTTCGGCATGTTGGACGATGCGTTTTGTGATGCCGCGGTCCTTGTTGACGTAGAGTTGGAGCCATTGGATCTGGTTGGGCCCGCGGGCGTCGATGATTTCATCGAAGGAGCAGGAGGCTAGGGTTGGGATCATTTGGATGATGTTGTGGGTGTTTGCGGCGCGGGTGAGGCAAACTTCACCTTCTGGGTGGCCGAGTTTACCCAGTGCGGCGGCGGTGACGTAGAAAGGGGCGGAGACTGGGGTGCCTAGCATGGTGGAGGAGATGTCTACGTTTTGGACGTCGACAAGGACGCGGGGGCGGAACCAGATTTTGTGGAAGGCGGAGTGGTTTTCGCGGAGGGACTGTGGTTTTCTCCTTGTGTTAGAAGTTCTATAGATGTATTGATATACATACAGACAGTTGGATATAGCTGGAGCGGATGGAGTGGGAGACTGACTATTTCATCGTCAGCGCCGCTAGAGTAATATGCCCAGGCGGACTTCTTCAAGACACGACGTGCGACAGCCTCGAAATCTAGTAGATTGTAGCATTGTTCCAGCAATGGCATGCGTTGTATTCGCAATTGGCGCTCTTCCTCGTCTGGATCTACAGCTTTATCTTCCTGCACGACGGTATCCATGGCCACGGGGCCCAGGTGTTTTGAAGGGTCGAGGTACTTGTCGAGTGTGTCTGGAGGGTGGATGGGCTCGAATTCTTCCGTGGCATCTTTGCCGGCATATTTAAGGATAATTTTCTGACCGCCAGGGTGTTCTATATTTTGGTTAGCCGGTTAGAAGTGATACTTTTTTCTTGAGGGAGTTAAATTGGAGCGGTTATGTATGTAGATACCGGGTAGAAAGTCTGTGACGTCGTATGCCTTGCCATGAACGATGACCCAGCAAGAGTCCTTGGAGTTATGCTTCAATATTTCTGGGCCCGTAAGAAGTTTTCCCTTGTGCTTCTCGTCTCCAGGCATTGCAGCGAGAGGATAGAGGGAGCAATGGTAGCTCCAAGCTTAGGATAAATTACTATGTAGCAGTGGTATAGGGCCGTACGTTGGTTAGCTGGAAGAGGGGAGTGGAGGATATTTTCGGGATTAATATATCAGAGGTGAACGAATCTAAATGGAGAAGTACTGGGTTTTAATCCCAGAGCCAAATATATATTCTACTTGGTCTTTCGTGCGAGAAAAGGGATTTGGCTTAATGTAAGCGCAGGGATAGGTTTAATGTGGAGGCGGGCAGTTGGAACAGGACTCCGCCCATTTAACCGTGTCAAACAGATTGCCGAGCACAAGCTACCTTGGAAGCTATCACCAAGTAACTGTGCGGAGAACTATTTCCGTGACTATCCATGGATAAGAGCATACGCAGTCGGAGGATAATCCCTACTCCATAATAGGTATTGGGTTGGGTTGGTGTTTTAGCAAACCTGTATCCTTGGACCCACCCACCCAATACCGGGATCTATTTTTGAAAAGTCAAATGATGACTAACAATGACATAAAATAGTTTGTTGCTAACGTAAATAACTAGCTAATTTATCGTCCTTTCGCTGTATTACCTAATCGTTCAGCCACTAGAGATCCAGCTTTTAATAAGAACAAAGTTCCTGCAAGTGATCAGAAATTTCTCTCCCATTTACTGCTGCTGGTAAATGTATGATGTCATGAATGTTAAAAAGGGTTTGACAATGTAAATCTTCTGAACACATCAAATTCTTTTCAATTTAATAGACGAAAAGGTGGCTAGTTTTACTAACTCTAGTAATTCATTTGGTTAAATTCTGGTTTACTCTTAACTGAAAGCTAGTATTAATTAGGTGAGGCAAGTCAGTCTATTTCTAATTAACCATCGAGAACTGTTTAAGTTATTACTAACCGAGTTAGAGGAAATGTGATTGAAAATCTTCTTCTACCTTGATGGCCATGTCTAACCCCATATCATATACCATATTTTCTCCTTGCTATATTTATTTCGAGCCTTGGATGAAACCTCGGGAGGTCGATCATGTCGATCAGGAATCATTTCTGTTGGGCACACGTTGCCCGGGCAGCAGCCCCACCGCACGTGATTAGTGTATTCAGATTGTTCCAGCTAGCCTTTCATCCGAAGACGAGATCAACCATCTCACAGGTTATATATAACCCGGATAGCACGTTGTGATGGAAGAAACACCCATTTTTAGCCAGGTTTCATTATGTATGATAGCAATTGGATGAGTTCGACGTCGATTCTCAAAAAGAAGACTCTTTTCGTGCATAATTGACGAATTCCGCTGGAATACTGTCTGTAGCGAAGAGCGATCGCGTTCTTGAAGGAATCAAACTTTTGACCTCAATGAGTAGATTGCCCCATACACCACATTGTGAACGAAAGAGAAGCCTCCGTTCTCATTCAAAGGCCCAAGACTCGTTCCCCTCGGCGTACGAAGAAGAGTACGACCAGGATCCGGTTGAGTCCATCTCAGGGGACAAAAGGACACACTGAATACACACTGGCAGACGAACACCACACAGGATGGAAAGAGCTAGGTCAAGCTGTGATACGGGTAAACAGACCATACGTAACTAATGAATTTGAAGGAGGGAATTCTACTCTTTATGTCTCCTAAGCCTATCCTCAATGCCAACGAAATGATCAACATGACCACAGCTGATCTGCTTGCATTTTGCCAGCAAATGATAACTGCGTGAGAGAACACTCAAATCAAGGAAGGAGGAGGTGTCACAAAGCAGCGCTATCAACATGGTGTAGGCTGCCTACAGTATCTTTCAGTGAAATTGACACCAGACATCACCCGCGCAGCTTCCCTTCTGGCGCAAAAGAACGCTGCCTCTACCCCCAAGGCATGGAAAGTCCTGATAATCAGGGACATGTCATTCAATTCCCGAACGCGTCCTATAATACCCATTGGCTACACAGATTCTGATTGAATTGAATCTCTTAATGACAATCAAAAATCTACGTCTGGAGACGTCTTTAAGCTTCATCCAATCAACCCTGCGTTTCTTTGAGCTCTAATGATTGCTGGATATGGGCTTCATCACAGCAGACCCCCCGTCAATTAGAGCAGATAATAAGGGTATGATTGGTCTGGCCACTGTGGCGGCAATCACCGCGCGCGGTAAGCATATTGACACTCGTTTCAACTATTCTCGTACGCAGTTGCATGAAGGAGTGATGTTCATTGATTGCATTCCCACGGAGGACATGGCAGACGGTCTTACGAAACCTTTACAACTTACTTAGAGTTCTCATTTGAAAAAGAGTCAAGACTACTAGCAAAACCTTGGATGTAGCATGCTTCGGTTGGATTCTAGGATCGCTTAGCTAGCTCTTGATACGCGGAGGATTCCATCTCTCGCACGTTGGTGCGTGGCGGGGGTGTTGGGCATACGTTGCCAGGGCAGCTGCCCTACCGTCCGTGAATAGTGTGTGCAGATAGTTCTAGCTAGCCTTTCATCCGAAGAGACAGATCCCAACATATCAATTGTCGCTGAGAACCATCTGCCCCAATTCAACCCTAACCCTAACCCTGTTTCCTGTTTGGGGTCGCCGGGCTGAATCGGGAGAAATGTTTATCCACGCAAGGAGCCGCATCAGCGTTTCCTCATCGTCTCTCGTTGTCTCTCTCATGTACTTCTTCAACTACACCATCTATTAACAAGCATACGAATACTAAACGCTCGGGTGGGGAGTTCCAGGGCAAATGCTGGTTGAATCGGACTCTAAGGGAGCCCCCATTCCATCTCAAAATTCTCCTTCACGTGCGGGTGTTCCCACCACGTGGACAGGACAAAGGTCTTCTCTATGATGACCCGCTAACCTCCTCGGGTGACTTGACTCTATTACTGAGACGGTCACGCCGCCTAACCTCAGCCCGGTCTCTCGCTGTGTCTATCTGCCTGCCTGTCTGCCTGTCTGCCTGCCTGCTTACTATATTACCTTAAGCTGCTAGACCTCTCTCCCTGGACATTACTCACCGCAGTCTCTCACATACCCAAAATAGATAGATACTGATTTACTCCTTCACTTACACGTTCTTTGATCCCAACCAGCTTTCCCTGGTTCTCTCCACCAAACAAACCCTCTGGATAATTCCCTCCCCCTCCCCACAATAACATGTCCTCTCCCTGCGCTTTCCTTCCGTCTCTTCTGCCGTGCTGAACACTATTCGGCCTTGAAAGCTTCCCTCCCTAGCTATGAGCTCCAGTCTCGAGGCCAAAATCGTCGTCCTAGGCGCCCAAGGTAAGTAGGTGTCTTTGTATTACCTTTCCCTTCTTGCATACTAACTCGACTCCTTCAGGCGTGGGAAAGACCTCTCTCGTCCAACGTTACGTGAAAAATGCATTCAACCCCGCTACAACAGCTTCCACCGTTGGTGCTTCCTTTGTCACAAAACGCGTCCTCGACACCACCTCCGACACCGTCGTGCGCCTGCAGATCTGGGACACCGCGGGCCAGGAACGCTTCCGTAGCATTTCCCGTCTCTACTACCGGGGCGCCAACGCCGGCCTGCTCTGCTATGATATCACGGACGAGAACAGCTTCCAGGAAATGGCCGGTTGGCTAGTCGAGCTGAAAGAGAACCTAGGGGAGGACTCGCCCATCGTCATCCACGTCGTCGGCACGAAATCCGACATCGTGGCTGACGACCCCAATCTCCGCAAAGTCCCCTTTGAACGCACCATTGCCTATGTTGCTGAGCAACTTTACCCCTCCCAAGCTTCGACACCACCACCCAGTTCCGGCCTGGGAATGCTCGGTCCCTCCACCTTTGGCACCTCAAACTCCAATCATAACCATAACCATAATCATAACCAAGCCTCCGGCCCTGAAAGCAAGCGGAGCAGCGGCTTCTGGGGCCAGGATATCGGATGGGACTGCTGCCACGAGATCAGTGCTAAGGATGGTGAGGGCATCGAAGAGGTATTCCGCGTCATTACGCGGAAACTTGTCGAGCAGCGGAACAAAAAGGTAGAAGCCGATGCTGCAAATCGGAACGGCTGGAGTGGTGCTGAACGAATACCGCCACGTATGGAGGGCGGCGTGTCCGACGGGCACGGCAGCGTTCGCGGCGGAACGACTGACAAGCGTCGGAGCTGGCTTGGGTTCCCGCCCGGTCTGGTCCTGGGTGAGGAGCCCGTTCATGTCCAAGTGGGTTCGATGCAGAATAAGCAGAGGAGATGTTGCTGAGCTCGTTCCCTTTTTGTCCTTCGTGATACAACTGGTAGTACAGTAGTTTTGCTTTTTCTACTTATTGATTTTTCTCCTTGTTAGTTCCGTTTTTGCGCAATTACGAAGGTTGCGACCTGTTATGTTATGTTTGCCCTGCTTGCTTTGTTTTAGCTACCCATAGATGGTATGCCATTCCGCCTCTCTCATTCCGCTGAACGCCGGACGCCGCGAAATGAGAGATCGCCATTTCCGTCTGTTACGTGCATTCCCCACATATCTGATGCATTTACACTGGATGTTCCTTCGTCTCTTCTTCCGTGTTTTTGCCCCTTTCCTTCGAATATCACATGTCCCTTCTGTTCTACCATTGTGTTTTATTATCACCCGTTTTCCCCTTTTCTTCTTCTTTCTCACGTTTCTCGACTGTTTTTCGAGTGATCGTAATTTCCTTTGCTCATAGGCGTTGCGTTGCCTGCGGATTTTCTATCCTCCTTGTTTTAACCAAGCTGTGCTTCAGGGGCGTGTAGGGCTTCGGGTTGTTTCCATGAGGTTTTATTGGTTTCTGTTACGGGCCACGGCGTGATGCACCTGTAACATCTAGGTGTCATGGCAGGGTAATTGGTAGAAAACTAATGTGAAATCGTATTTTTACGTTGCCTGGGGTTTTCCCAATGTGATTTTCTTGTTCTCGATCAATATTTCCATGTGGTGATTGTAGCTAACTCCCCATCAATCCCTTTGTGCAAAGTGGAAGTTGGTACATTCGACTATTGCAATCAACTGGCATGCATAAGCTATGGGATCCTTCTAAATATGCATATTAATCCTTTCCACGTTATAAGCTTGCAGTTGCAGCACGAAGTATTAAGTTGGCACGTTCTACAGCGTTCAAGCCCAAAATATCACCCTGTGAATCTGAGAGTTTCCCCTCCCCTACCCCCTCCGCCCTCATGCACGAAAAGTTAGTTCTTGCAAGACTAACTGCCGGCGAAGGTGTTGTACAGTACATGCTCTCTGGATCTAACTGCAGTTTCAGATGTCGGGTGAGGTATGCATATCCATCCCAACATGAAGCTTGGTGCATCAATGATATCCATGTTATAATCTCGACGTTATTCGATTCCAGGATTTTGTATATCATACTGAAGAAACACGAGAGAATGTTCCGACTACCTGTATTTCTCTATGGAGGAGATGTTTTCTCCTTGTTGTCGCGTAGGGACAGGAGCGGCAATGGCTGTAGTTATTAGTTAGCCAGTGATTTAGTTTGAGCTGGCGCTTAAACTGCGCTAGTTAAAGAAGGGAAGGACCCGCAACTTGAACAGCTAGACTCTCGGGGAGTCATTAAAATTATATATTTTCTACTTGTATCTGGGCGAGGAAAAGCTTAACCCTGGTCTGGTTCCTTGTCTTGAGTTTTCGTTCAAATCTTCCAAAAGAGATCAATGAGGATGGAGTTCATACTCCATCCGTACACGCTTTTGGACTACGTTTCCGCTCCCTATAATTGGAGTTAGCTTTTTTTTTTTCTCTCTCGTTGTTTAATTAGTTACCTGGGATAAGCGTACGCTGCCGTGTGTTAGTGGATCCTGACTGGTAGAAATGATCTTTCTCTTACACGATCTAGATAGATACTTTCCCTCGGAACCACAAAGTTAGTTAGATATTGACGCTATTCATAAAAGGGCTTAACTTCTTTTGTTGTCTCAAAGCAAAGCTCTAATTGGCTTGCTGAGTTTAGGGCATTTCTTTTTGAATCCTTCTCCCAATTCATCTACGAGATGAATGACGAGATTTCTCGAAATTCCGGGTCTTAACAACCACGACTTTACGTTCTGTACGATCTCCTGTATAGTTTTTCATCGGCTGGGACAAGTGAAAATGTCCTTGGTGTTAACACTAGTCTTTCAAGCAGATATGATTGTGGTGTTTAAGAAACTACCAATATTGACCCTGAGGCTCTAGAGGGCGGCGGATTCAATATCGGCATGTTGGAGCTCGAAAAACTTTTTCGTTTTCGTTTGACCCCTTCTTGAAACCTACAGATCTCTGAGCAAGCCTGGACCCGCTCGAGCTTTATCTGTAAATACATACTCCGAAAACCCGGAATTTGAAGAAATATATTTTCTTTGTTGAAGAGAGACCACAAAGCACAAAGAAAAATGGTCACAATCCTAACAAAGAACGTACGCTGATACCCTGGGGGCGGCTAGGAGCTCGCGAAGGTAAAACAATCACAGAAAGAATAGTTTTAGACTGAATTTTCACTGGCATTTAGAGGAGTTTGTTTGTGTTGAGCCCCATCCCTACCATCTCTAAACCATTTTCAGAAAATGGAGACACAAGCAATCAAGACATTGTATTGTGAAGATGAAACATTCGTTCTTCAGAGCAGAGGAAAGGAAAGAGAACAAGAAGAAAGGCTTTGAGAGCAGGTTTACAAAAAAATTACCTCATGGTTTTCAGCATGGGTCTCCCCTGGTCTCTTTGCGATGTTTGCTTGAGAAACAGTCCACTTTTTGCCCCAGGAAATGCTCTACATCGTTAACTAAAAATAGCTGCTTGTTGCTGCTTGTTGCTGCTTGGCTCCAAGGTTCCCCTCCAGCAACTCCACACCCCCCTCACCCCCTAACTTTGATCTTCCAACTGAATTACAAGATCAAACCCTTCAGCCAAGGTCCAGATGATCTCAATGCACGGTTGGGGAATTGCAACACCCCGTCCATACACATATTGTAGACAAGCAGTTAAATTGCCAAGGATGCTCAGCCAGACACATTCCGCAAACGACCAAACTGCAGGTCTGCGACATGACTGTTGAAATAGTTTTGTGTTAACCCTTGCTAAGGAAACAGATGGTAACTATACAGGCGTTTGACCTCTCATGAACCCAGCAATAGTTACCCCAGAAAGGCAGAAGAGGCTAGGATCGGGGTTCTCTCTCTCTCTCTCTCTCTCTCTCTCTCTCTTCAACCTTGTCACTTGTGTGTCCTTGATTCAAACCATGAGGCTACCTTTGTCAAAGGCATTTAAGCCGCAGAAGGTTGTATCCCTCTGGTCAATCAGCAAGTGCCCGGCTGGGCTACATTTTACCAGAGCACAGGGGACCCGCCAAGGGGAGTTAAAATAACAATGAGATTCGTCCGCAATAATGAGAATCGAAATCGCGGGATAGGGTTATGTGATATCTCCGTCAATTTTCCGCCCGTGCTGGTTTCTTCCATAGATACCCCACTCGACTTTTTGAAGTACGTTTAGTTTACTAACCACAGGAAAGGGCAAGGGTTTTTTTCATTAGCCACCATTTGCTGAATCTCGGGATCCAAATAGCTGGGCTGATTTCTTCCTCCGGATTTATGCTGCCCTGAACAATTTGCTTTCGCCAGCCTCCTCCAACTTTCGTATTGTCCCATTTTATGTGTCCCTGCTGCATCCCGTATTTTGATCGCGTTTTCACCAGATTCTCGTCGGTCAATACCTGAGGCTTGATGCCTACTTTGAACTGTTATCCAAGCCTTCTGACATCCTTTGGCCTCGAGTCCTTTCAGCAAGTTTGCATGCATGCTTCTCTTCCAACGGCAGACCTCGAGTTGTACTTTTCGAGACCACTCCGTTTCCCCCCTCTCTTACTTCTCCAATACTCACTCTAGTAACTCGACTTTGGCCATTCGAAAAATCCTCGCATAAGGATTCCCGGTACAACATATGACGTCGCAACCCGAGATGCTTCCTCTAGTGGACTACATTTCTGCAGGTATATATATTGCTCATCATTCCCACCCCAAGGGTTTCTTTATCCCACTTTCTCAACACCCCACCTCCCCTCCCCCTTTTTATATTTTAATTATTTCATTTTTGGACTGGGTCGATTTACCGCTTTTGCACCTATACTGACAGATCCAACGTAGTTGTGACTGCTTATCTGGATGCTTCAAATTTGGTCGGGTACATTAAGCGACACAGCAACCGACCGTTGTCTGAAGATGCTCTGGCAAGCTTGGAAAACTCCCTCGCCCTCGGACCCCCCATAGTACAAGGCCAATATGGTTTAGAGGTCAAGGTTATGGGCCAAACATATGAGGACGGGGATGAGACTACTCGAGAAAATATGAAGCTTATCCTGGGAAACCTGCAAGATACCTTACTTGTCGGGCTCAAGCGGGCTTTGATGGGCAATCTCGATTTGGACTTTGTCACCTTGCAAGCATCCTCCGACAACGGTCGGATTAGCTCGATAATCTGCTTGAGTCAGTTGGGTAAACGCCTCGGACCCAGCATTTCGAATCCAAATTTGTCGATCATTTCCACCCCTGAACATGGTACTGTGGAAACCCCATCCCACGATGACTTGTCAAACCCGGAGCCTTCACAAAGCTCAGTAGCGCAAAACATATTCTCTGGGGATACAAGAAGCCATACTGCATCTTCCCGCTCGCCAACCACAGAGTCGGAAAATATATCAACCCCTTCTGATATCACCAGTCCAATGACTCCCGAAGGAAGTGTCAGCTCTTTTGCCCATCGGCGATCCCTTCACTTTAGGTCGAAACCGCCTGTTGAGCTACCAGCCAATGAAATCGACACGATTGATTGGGACCCCGAGCGGTGCATTGCAAATAGAAACAATGTGACTCAATACCCCATATTGACCATAAGGGAAGCTAGTGGTGAACTGCAGGATCTATATAGTGTTGATGCAATGGCACCAGAATCCCTAGGCCCAAGGAGTTTCCCCTTTGAAGACCAAAGGGGGTTCCATCATCTAAAGAACGAATCTCGGCATAATAATTGGCGCAAAGAAGTTAACAATACGCTTGAATATACCCCGCAAACTCAACCTGGCAGATTACTCTGATTACTCTCTGCTCCCGCACCAAATATGTGGGGGTTGGACATCTCTACTCGTCCCCACCGCCAGGCGATATGCCTCGGTCCAATTTTTTGTCGACCCCGAAATCCAGTATTTTTCTACAACACAGGCGACGACCAGAATGCATGCCAAGATCTTCCAGCACGAGCACATCTACCATCGGAAACGACTCTCCTCCTGAATTCTATCTACCCAGTGAAGAGAACAACTTTGCCGGCTTCTGCAAAGGCGCATGGAGAATGCAAACAGGAATGAGGAAAGCGATGCGTTCCGAGCAACGGCCGTCGGGGATGTTTTCGCAAGTCCTCTTCTGGCGCTGTACCAAATGCAATTTTTAAAGGCCCACGGACCTCTTCTCCGATAACCTTCCAACCACAATGATGCAGGCACCCAGCATCTCCCGCACCACTCCTCTCGACAAACCATCCCGCTTCTTTGACCATCGCGTCCGCGTCCATCAGGAAACGGGCATCCGATACCACTGGGCCTTCCTTGCCAAATCGCATATCTTTTGCCAGAAAGTGCCACCAATCACTGATGGGTCGACATGTAGCTATGGCTGCATATACTGTTGCACTGAGCAGCGGGGCTCTGTACCCGTACTTGGGAATGTTAACTCGTTTATGGAGCATTTCCGGACACACGATGGAAGCCATATGCGTGGACATATCAAGGCGCCGGACCAGTAGTTGCTAAAGCGAACGAAGTGTATTATGGGTAGGACAGCTCGTGACTGGGAGGAGTTTGATATTAACATTCCGCCATTTGTGGCGGAGGTCCAGGGGTGAAGTTTATGGGAGGATTATGTAGGTGTTAATGATTGTGAGAATTTAATGATATCCCGATGATATCTCGCCCTGCGGAGCTTTCTTTTCTCTCCCTTTTTATTTTATTTTATTTTATTTTATTTTTTGTAGTTTATTTATTATGGACCATTTCCATGAGCATTCCAATATTTTGCTATCTCTTGTCGAGTATCTTTGCGGTTATACTTTGGGCTTGATGCGTTCCCTGCTTCTTCATAATTTGTACCTTTTGTTAACAATTGACACCAGACAACTTGTTGTGTCTAATTTCATGTACTCTACTTTGAATGGACTCGATTTTACTCCACTCCGTACAAATGAATCTTTTCATCCAATATACCAATCAATGTTGTTGGATATCTTCAAGCTTAACGGCGTCAAAGGAAACCTTGCAAATGCTTGGCGCCACCTTATCTAGTAACTAACTCAAGCTATAAACTCTCAGCACAGGGTCAGACCGACACAACCAACCGTGTGCATACCCCATGCTCTTCCAAGTTCCAATGACAGATGAATTAAGACACAACCGATATAGTTTGCAATCCTTTCCTGCTAAATCTCATTATCTACTATATAATTTGGAACTCGTACCCTCTTATTTGCTGGCAGATCACCTCCACACGAGGTCGCGGCTATGTTCCAGGTACGCGGTGACATCAACCCCAAGATTTGTGCAAATCCGTTCTGACCACCTTTTACATAACAGCGGATCAAGGGAGCCATAGATTCCCGCATTGCAGAAGAGCAAGCTCGACAAAAATTAGCCCAGGAGGCTCACTCCCTTTCTCGGCCTAATTCCAGCACCCGTCGTTCCAGCATAAGAGCCGATTCCCGCACCGCAAGGCTAAAACGGGAGAATAGTTTTCCAGCGAAAGGCCCCGATCCCGCTGAATTTGATGTGGAGTTTGTTGTAGGTGATGACGATTCGTCCACTAGGACCAACACACCTGTTCAAATGCAAGAAACAGGCGGAGATGGGAAAGCTTCCGGAGACAAGGAAAGGGAGGGCGAGAGGGGACGGGAGTCTGCGCGTCCATCAGATGCGATACCGGGGGAAGCCACACAGACGGAGTTGCCAACCGAAGTGAGGGTGAAGCTACGGAGGCTGGATAAGCTGGAAGGGAGATATCAAGGTTCGTGTGGGAATCTGCTGCTGAGTGCTTTGTGCTTTGTGCTTTGTGCTTCCTTGGTTGGCTAAATATAATTCCTTGTTTTGGGAATCATCTACAGAATTGTTAAAGGCGTACCGAATTGCGCACGCACGTGTGCTCTCTATTGAGCCCTTTGAAGCCTCCCTACGCGAGAATACCCCGTTAACTTCAATAAGTGACCCTAAGGCGTTGACGGAGTATCTCAATCAGATTAGTTTGAAAGGTGATATGGTGCTAGATGAGCTGAAGAGGATTACTCCTGAAAGAGATGAATATAAAAGGAAACTTTTAGAGGCCGAGAAATCAGCACGTGACGCTCAGGAGGAGGTGGCTCGCCTGAAAGCGCGTAGTGTTTCCTCTGATGAAAAGGGTTCCGTACAAGATGAAGAGATGAATGGCAGGATGCTACCCACAGTCGACACCTCATTCGTTCCCGCAGAAGACAACTCGTTAGCAAATCCACAGAAATCTCCAACTTTCTCGACAGCTGCTCGCGCCTCTATTCCTGGCCTATCATTGTTTTCACCGAAAACGAAAGCAGTGACATCGCCGCCCCTTGTGGAAGCGAGTGAAGAGTTCTTCTCTTTTGATAATGAAATACCACGTTTAGAATTGGAGCTGAACCAACGACAAGAGGAGGTTGACACTTTGAAAGCAGAGGTTAAAACTCTTAAGGGGGATCTATCTGTTGCGCGCGAGTCAACAGAAAGCATGGCACAGAGCTTGGAATTGGCCACCCGAGAACTGACGGGGCTGAAGGAGGCGAAAGATCGATATGAGGCGGATCTGGAAGGTCAACGGAAAACACTTGAAGAGCAGATTTCTGGTCTGAAGGACAAGCTTTTCGTGGCGGAGACAGACCTGGAGAAATCAAGTGTTGTCATGGAGCAGCTACAGACTCAGCTGGATGAAAAGAATAAAGAGTTGACACAGGCTAGTCAAAAGAAAGATGATGAAAGTTCAAAAGTAACCGCTGCAGAGGAACAGAAGACTTCCGGTGAAAAGCGGTTGAGTATATTACAAGACATTGTCACGAACTTAAAGTCACAGCTAAAAGGCGCAGAAAATACTATATCGGCTTTGAAGGCTGAGATTTCTTCCAAAGATGCTGAGGCAAAAGACATTCAGAAGATTGTTGCCTTCGTTGATGACGGTCTCAAGGGCAATCAAACATGGCAAGTCGCCAAGCAGCGTATATCAGATGGGCAAACTGCCAATTTTGATGATCTTCGGAATAGCTTCATTGTAAGCGACGAACAACCAAGTATCCCTTATCAACAGGTTCCTCCTGCGACTAAGGGTGCGAAAAAGAAAAACAAGAAGAAGAAGAAAGGTGGGAAAGGTGGCGCGGAGGAATCTTTTGAAATTGCAGAACCTCCAGCTATAGAGGTCCCTATTTCTGATAATACGGCTACTGTTGCTGAACTTGAGAACAAGATTGTAAAACTAACTTCTCAACTTTCAGAGAAGGAGGCCGCCATTAACCGTCTAGATTCTAAACTTAAAGGAGAAGATGACCTACGAGAAGAAATTGATTCTTTACGAGATGACCTCCGTGATATCGGGCAGAGCTTTGTGGAAGCAAAGGACAAGGTTAATGAACTCCAAACAGAGAAGCAGGCTCTTGAGAAAACAATCCAGAATTTGGAAAAGGAGTTGGTTGACCTACGCACCAACTCAACGTCCAGTTCTGCTGAAGCGGAGGGCGAACACAAGGATTTAGCCGCTGAATTCGAGGAGTTAAAGATAAAGGCGACAGCGTTGCAAACAGACCTGACTACTACTCAACAACTCGCAGCATCGCGGTTCAAAGATTTAACAGACCTCCGAGACACAATTCAAAAGCTCCAACCGGAATTGAGAACTCTCCGTGCTGAATCAGCAGAACTTAAAGCCTCGAAGGAAGAGCTCAAGAACAAAACCAACGATCTAAAGCGGTTGGAAAGACGACATGAGGATGTTAGATCGGAAATGAAGAATCTGAGAGGCAAGATTGGGGAACAGGAATCCGAAATCAAAGCTCTAAACCAAAAAGTTACGCAGGAGACGAAGACTCGAGTTAAGGCTGAGCAAGCATTGGATGTGGCACAGTCTGACCTACGCTACTCTGAGAGCAAAAAGCAGGAGGCTATTGAAACAAATGAGAATACAACCAGACTTCTCTCAAAGACGCAAGAAGAGCTCAGGTCGTCGCGGACAAGGCTCCGGGAAGTTGAAGAGCAGGTAACACAGCTAAACAGAGACATCGAAAACTTACGGGATGAAATTCAATTAAAGACCGCGCAGTACGCCAGTGCGCAAAGTCTCATGAACAGCATGCGTGACCAAACGTCTGAGATGGCAATGCAAGTCAAAGAAGCCCGTGAACGCTGCGAGAGCCTTGAAGAAGAACTCGCCGATGCCCATCGCCTACTCGCCGAACGGACACGAGAGGGTGAGACGATGCGACGGCTACTATCAGACGTCGAGATGCGGACAGACGCCAAGGTTCGCGATTTTAAGGAGCGTCTGGAAACAGCCATTGAAGAGCGTGACCGGGCAGAAGACGAAGCCAATCTTTCAGGGCGGAAACGTGCGAGGGAAATCGAAGAGCTGAAATCCAAAGCACGGGATATGGAGCGAGAATTGCGCCGTGCGGAGCAGGACAAGAGAGAACTGGAAGCCGAAACGGAGCGGTCGAAACGAGAGCTTGGTGATGTGCAAGCGGCAATGACAGAGTTGCGCGATGCGCTTGGTGAGAGTGAGAATCAGACGCTGGAGCTCGAGAAGGAGAAAATAGAACTGCGCCGTTCCGTCGAGGAAACGATCCAGCGGTTGGAAAAGCTGCGCAAAGCCAACAAGGCGCTTACGGACGAGGTCAAAGCGTTTCAGGCTAGCAAGCGGCTCGGGTTCGATTCGAATAATAGTTCTAGACGATCGCCACGATCGTCGCTGGATTCTGGAGTGCAGCAACATCGCCGCGGTGGTGGTAGTGTGGTCTCACCGCATTCGCGGGTGAGCAGTGTAACACCGACGGGACCGGGCGCGGGGTCGATTGACTATGTGTATTTGAAGAATGTGCTGTTGCAGTTTCTGGAGCAGAAGGATAAGAATTATCAGAAGCAGCTTATTCCGGTGTTAGGGATGTTGCTGCATTTCGATACGTATGTCTACCTTAAGCTGCGTCTTCTCCTTCCGCTCTCTGATATATTTATACAACTGCTAACTATCATCTCTTCTGCGACGTTTAGGAATGATGAACAGAAGTGGATGTCTGCGATCTCATCTAAATAGAATTGGGACTTTTTATATCTGACCTCAAATCGATGGAACTTCATTGGGTCTACGACATAGTTATTGCAATGAGTGGATATGATATGCAGGTGCAATTATTAGATTTCATAACCATGTGCGAGGCGTTAATTTTCAAGTCACCATTAGCCATCATACTACCAGTTATTATTATATTTTTAAGCCTCCTGGGCCATCTTGAAACGGCAATAGAAAACGGTATTTAGTTTAACTATCCACAACTATAGTATACATTTGACAACCCAACAACAGCTATGCAAGTTAATGCAGGACAACTGAGATTTAATATATCAAAACATCCAGCCACAAATTTCCCTTTGGCGTGTATACAATTGCGAGTTTACGGCTGGCAAACTCAGGGCTACCCCTGGCTGACTAATGCGGGCAAAACACCCTTCGACAACATCCAGCGCGGGGCAGTTTTTGCCACCAACAGAAACAATTTATGGATACAGATATACATATATCGGTATGTTCCTATTTCCAGAAAGCTGTATAAATAATGTTTCGAATATTCCCATAAAATTAGTTTTAGCACCATCCGCTGCCATCTCACACAATTGGCCCCCAGTCGAAAGAAATATCTTACCCACACCAACCTGATACCAACCATGACTGAACAACCCGTAATAAGGCTTGCGACTGAGGACGGTAAGGACACTTGAATTCGTCCCATATATATATATGGCTTATATATGCCAATTGATCCCAATACAACCCATCAACACCTCTGCGTGTAATACATTCAACCCTCGCGACAATACTAATATATCCCTTGTCAACCCATCCATCCAACCCAGACGTCCCCATAATTCTCCAATTCATCCAAGAACTAGCTGCGTACGAAAACGCCTCGCACGAAGTCGAAGCAACCGTAGACTCCCTACGCGCAACACTCTCCTTCCCCTCCTTCCCACCCAAATGTTCCGGCACCTACACCCTCCTCGTCAGCCCACCGGCGACACCCGCACAGCCCCACCCCGCACCCGCTGGCATGGCCATCTACTTCTACAACTACTCAACCTGGCGGTCTGCGCCGGGGATCTATCTCGAAGACCTGTATGTGCAACCGGAGCATCGGGGGAAAGGATACGGGCTGGCTCTGCTGCGGCGGCTGGCGGCGGAGATTTGTAAAGGTGGCGGGAAGAGGTTGGAGTGGAGCGTTCTGCGGTGGAATGAGCCTAGTATCAAGTTCTATACAAGTGAGAATGTGGGGGCCAAGCCGATGGAAGAGTGGATGAAGATGATGGTGGATGGAGAGGCGTTGACCAAGCTGGCAGCTGCCGATCAGAGTCGGTGAAATGAGACGCATTTGACATGGGTAGAGCTGGATGCTGTAAAGCTGCAGGGTTGTTCGAAACTCGTTCTCATTAGGGGCTCTTTTGGATCCTGGTTGCATTTATACAGAGATATTCCGAGGTAGGTTTAATAGCTCCTGTAAATATGATGTTATCTCTGGACGTTTTTCGGATTGATATGGGTGGCTTTTGGGAAATATTATGCTTTAAAATGGAAATATAGGTAACACAGTCAGTCCACCACAGAGTAGGGTTTCACATTGCCCCTACTGGGTTAACTTCTATCGTCTCAGGCCCCGGCTCCTAGTGACTGCTGATGGCTCTGATCTCGGGAACTATTCTGAACTGCTTGAGGAGCTATGGCTCTCTCCGCTGAAAATTGAACATAACTACCGACCTCGAGAGCAGAATAATATCCCATAGACATCAATGAATCTCTATAATCTGCTGATCTTCCTCTCCATCTTCAAGGCGTCTTCAATCGTTCCAACCCGCGGACTTATTCGCTAATTCTCTGATATAGGGCTCCATCCACCAAAACCCTAACCAGGCCCGATCGGGTTGCAGCGATCTTCCTATTCGACAATGACGTAACTGCGCGATCTCCGGGCGGGCTTGGTGCGGCTCTAGGCTGGAACTGGCAATTCCAACGCAGACTTGAAAAGAGCTTCACCTAACGTCACCGCAAAGCATCTTCGAAGCATCTTCTTGTCACCGTCAGTGAACGCTGCTCAGAGACTCTCCTGCTATGCACCTCCAGTAGCCATATAGACGCATTACATGTTCTAGCCCACCATGGGAGACGACGCCGCTCGTAGAAATGCATTGACGGAGAATTTCGACGTGGATTATGTAGTTCTCTACCGCTTTGCCAACGTTGGTTCGTGCTGTCACACTGTCGGTCCCGGTTTATGTTAAAACAATGCTTTGGCTTTTGAGAAAAGCACCATAGCTGACGGAGCGATCAGACAAAAATGACGCTATACAGCAATTCAAGAAGCTCATCTCGGCTTTATCTGACGTCGGACTGCAGACTGAGGTTCGTCCAGGAAAGGACTCCAGCCTTCTCATCTTTGTGAAGGCCAAGGAAAAGTTCGTTGGTAAAGCTGTCTACCGTTCCAGGTAAGCGAATCCCCCCCCCTCAGTTGGATTTCTTAGCCTGATCGCCATATACGCCGTTTCAACTTGGGTTCTTGCATTTTAACATTTCTTCACAGGGTAAAAGACTGGCTGCATGGTATACGCAATTCTCGACCTGACCCCGATGCAAAGGGTTCATGTGTTCCGGAGACAGACGCAGAACGTCTTCTCATGGTCTACAATATGATCACCCTGCCCTCCAGCGAAGGTGGCGCAGGAATCACGCCTAAGTATGGCGAATGGAATCATGTAGATTCAATCTTCCCTTTGCACGACAAACTCCTCAACAAGACGTGGTTAAAGTCCTGGAGTAGCAAGACCTTTCTCACCGTCGATGACCTTGATCAGATTCGAAATCATCACGGAGAAAAAATTGGCTTCTACTTTGCCTTTTTACAGTCATATTTTTCTTTCCTCATCTTTCCTGCTGCTTTTGGATTCGCTTGCTGGGTCCTCTTGGGCCATTTTTCCATCACCTATGCTATAGTGAACTGCCTTTCATGCGTTGTGTTTACTGAGCTATGGAAGCGGCAGGAAGGGGATCTGCGCATTCGCTGGCAGGTCAAGAATGTTTCTGAAATCCGCACCAAGAGGAGGGAGTTTAAGTATCTGTCTAAACGCATTGATCCTGTGACTGGCGAAGAAGTGCTGTTTTTCCCTAAAACAACACGGATCGGGAGACAACTTCTTCAAATCCCGTTTGCCATCGTTGCGATCCTTGCATTGGGAACCCTAATAGCAACCTGTTTCGCCATTGAGATCTTTATTTCTGAAGTATATGCCGGGCCATTTAAATCATACCTAGTAGGCTTCACTACAGACCCTCTTGTTCCGACAATGAGATGTGGAATATCTCGCTTACAAGGTAAAAACAGGTGTTCGTTCCCACAATCTTGCTCTCGCTATTCGTTCCTACAATCTCGACCCTCTTAACAAAGGTGGCCACGCGTCTTACCGACTACGAAAACTACGAGACCCAGGACGGCTACGACATGGCACTGACGCATAAAATCTTCGTCCTTAACTTCATTACATCATACCTCCCAGTCTTGCTTACAGCCTTCGTCTACGTCCCATTTGGGAAAGTAATAGTGCCGTATCTGGATATCTTCCATAAAACCGTCCCATTCGCCTCGTCGTCATCGTCATCATCATCAGCGGACAACAAGAACTCGGCCCGAAAAGCCGTAGTATCCTTCCAGATCAACCCATCCCGCCTCCGCAAGCAGGTCATCTACTTCACCGTCACCGCCCAAATCGTCAACCAGGGCCTAGAAGTTGCCTTACCTTACATCAAGCGCAAACTCTTCCGCAAATACCAAGAATACACCGAGGAAAAGGCCGAAAAGAGCGGCTCATCCACACCCAAAGCAGCTTCCGCCAGCGGCAGCACCGCTGCAGCCATCCTGGAAGCCGCACCGGGCGAAGCCAAATTCCTCGCCCGCGTCCGCTCCGAGGCCCAGCTAAGCGACTACGACGTCTCCGCCGACTACCGCGAGATGGTCGTGCAATTCGGCTACCTCTCTCTCGTCTCCGTCGTCTGGCCTCTCGTCCCGGTTTCATTCCTGATAAACAACTGGGTCGAGCTGCGATCGGACTTCGTGAAGATGTGCGTTGAGTGCCGGCGGCCCGTACCCCATCGCACAGACACTATTGGCTCCTGGGTGTCCTCGCTGGAGTTCCTGGCGTGGCTGGGCAGCATTACGAATGCGGCGTTGGTGTATCTGTTCTCGAATGACGGGGTGGGACCGGACGGGAGTCCGAGTCTGATCAAGGGGTGGGTGCTGCTGCTTGTCATCTTCTTCTCTGAGCATTTGTATTTGCTAGTGAGGATGGGGGTGCAGGTTGTTATTTCCAAGATTGAGACGCCGGCGACGAGGCAGGAGAAGGTGCAGCGGTTTTTGGTCAGGAAGCAGTATTTCGATGCGGTTGTGGCGGGGGAGGCGCAGGATGCTGCTACGGCTACGGCTGAGGCTGAGAAACAACATCGCCACTCGCCTGATGCCACCACCCGTGGGGATGAGGAGGGCCTGGTCCATGTTGGCACGAAGATCACGCGTGGGTCATTGGAGGAGGATGCGCGCAGGTTCAGCCAGCATGATTCGTCGCCGTCGGATTTGTTTTGGGGCAGGCAGCGGGGGTGGCGGGAGTCGAGCATTGTTGGGGAAGGAATTATTGACGCGGAGCTGAGCCTGAAGGCGGCGGAGAAAAAGGGGCAGTAGTTTGTTTGTTGAGCGGGTTATGGGGGTTCATTTGAAGAATGGATTCCTCAGATTGAATTGGAGAAGGCGTCGACCCCTTGGGGCAAGGCCGATGAGACTGCTTTGCGCGTGATGGGATTACTCATGTTTGCGATTTGAATTTTGCTATCTCGTTCTAGATTGATTTTCCAATTACTTTTCGCCTGTCTTTTTTATATTTATCTATCTATTACAATGTTAATTTCCTTCGGCCGGTGATTTTCCAATATCTGGCTAGGTCATATATCAAGCTTGAGGGGTTGATTTCGGTGTCTCGGTTCATTTTATTATCTCTCTATGGCATATAGCACACATTCCTGTGTCGACTTTCGTTGTGTTGCTTTACTTAGTAACATTGTGATCCCGGGCTTTTCTGAAATGTTGCAACTTCTCAGGCAGGGCGCAGTTTTCTGCTCGAACTTTTGAGAGCACCTGCATAACCATAATGTGAAAACCTGACTGTCCTCCTATTCTCTCCCCCCCCCTCAGAGCTGTCATGTTAAGTGCTCTCAATAGTTTCTCTACCAATATTCTCATCGTAATGCGGTAGCTGCAAGGAGCGGAAACGCAGTCAAAAAGTCCGACTGAAAGAACTCTGCCAACCCTCTAGCCACCACTACATACAACCTTAGACCCGAAGAAGAGTTTTTTCAAAAACCAAGAAAACCTATTTCTAAAAGGATGCTAAGGTTTTCCTTCTTTTTTTTTCCTTTTTTCAATTCATGACAAACCCAAAAAAAAGGTTGGCAAAATATATAAATACATAAACTCAATGGGGAAAAAAAAAAAACTCTTTCTCGATATTTATATATCTAGCATGTCTTGGTTTCGATCCAAGGTCCTCCGGGTTATGAGCCCGGCGCGCTTCCGCTGCGCCAACATGCTTATTATTGGTAATAAAAGTATCTGACAAACATCCAACAATAGAATTAAAACGCCGCCCCCATATTAGTCAGCTGAAATCAACCCGTCTCAGAATCGAGATTGGGCGGTTTCAGCAAAGGGGGGATAGGGGTAATTCTGAGGGGAAAAAGTGATCTGACTAAATGGCTCCCCCGGAGCTTTGCGGTGCAATCCCTAACATGGACATGGGATGGAAAGAAGGTATATGTATGTGTGGGATGGAAGCTGGGTCCCCTTGGGTCCCCGGGTCCCCAACTGAGGGAGGAAATGGTTAAAGTAGCTCAGTAGTAGGCGGGATTTGTCATACTAGTGAGCTATTTGTTCGTTAGTTCAGGGGCGGGTTAGTTCTTGTCCCTTGTTATCCCGCCCCGTTTGGGGTTCGCAGTTCGGGGAGAATGGAGAGATATGGGATGGTCCTTTTAGCTGGAGGATGGATTTGTACTATCATACTCTGTAGTAGTAGTTAAGTAGCACGGACACACATACATATACACACACACATATACACACACACACACACACACATATACACACACACACACACACACACACACACACACACATATACACACACACACACACACACATACACACACACACACACACACACACACACACACACACACACACACACACACACAGGAAGTGATGAGATAGATGACTTTCCGCGGCGAAGGGTTGGTGCACTGCTTAGGTGACCTGCCGGAGCAATGTATCCGCCAGGAACAGGATGAGCGTCTGGAACTCGAGGTTTGTTTCTCGTGCAGGCCGTGTTTAAGGATACAACCCACACTCCCTACCCACACTCCTTCAAACACACCGTGTCCACTGTCCTATCCACTGTCCTGTGCACTGTCCTGTCTGTCCACCTGTTCCATCCACTGCCTGTCCACCACCACCACCGCCCACTTTGCGCACCGTAGCCCGCCTGGTTGCCAACTAGCAGGACAACGGGCTGGGCAAGAGAGCGAGAGTGTTTGTCAGCAGGGTGGGTCCGCGCACTAGCCTCCGGCCAATGGCAGCAGAGCGAGCGATGACATAATCCGATGAGTCATCCCTCCTTCCAAAGGTTCCAGCCTAGGCAGGCAGAGCGCGTGACCCCCAATAAAGCAAGCGCGATCCCCCTCTTCGCCTGCCGTCCCGAGCCCCGAACTGGGAATTTCTTATTCATCAACTCGCCGTTGCTGACTGATCCAAACGTTCCTCTGCTGAAGACTTCTTCGACCGTCGAAACTACTACGGGATCCGATCTATACAGAGAGAGCTCGCGCGCACGAGAGACCGACGAACGACGAACGACAACGACAGCAGCAGCAGTAGACGACGACGAAGAAGTCGAAGACCAAGAAAGCGGAAGAAGAAGAAGAAGAAGAAGAAGAGGACGAACAAGAGGAATAGGAATAGGAAGAAGAAAAAGAAGAGGAAGAGGAAGAGGTATAGGAAGACGAAGAGACACTTTGAAGATATCGGGAGACACTGGAGGTTTACTCTACAGGACTATATCCACGAAATTATCTCATCAGCCTCCGTCCCTCCACCCCCCCCCCCCCCATCCCCCCCTTTTTTTTTCCCTCGCCTTCTCAACGCGTCCCTTTATATTTAAAACAATCAGTCAACTGCTGTTGGATCCAGCCTCGGGCCGGAACCTTTTAATACGCTCTCTGCTTTATTGGAAATCTCCCCTCCCGCTCCCGGATTAAATAACGGCTTTACTCATCACCGAAGGGAGTATAAGAGACTTACTTGGTATATGGTATTCTTGAGTGTGAGGGGTGAGTAGATGCAGCGCGAGGGTGAGATGGTGTGTGAGTTTTGTGGTTGCGATGGTGTGTGTCGTGTGTGTG